TTTTTGTATTAGAATTCAATTAACTTTAAGAACATTACGACATCCGATAATATAAAATGAAGTATCTGTGTTGAAAGTATACTAATTAACTTTACTATTTTGTTCTTTTTCTTGTTTAACTACTTTTGTTTGAGGATATTTAAGAGAGCTTTTTGTTACTCGAAAAAAAAAACTTGCTTTTATTGATGGTAAAATTTGTACATATATCTATTCATTTTTTTTTATCAGAGTGATATTTCTATTGTAATGTTATTGGTTAATTTATTCTAGTTATCATATCAAATTTAGCTGATGATTCAGATACATCGATTTTCCATGCTAATTTAACTGTTTATTCCAATTTTAATAGTTAATCTTTAAAATTGCTTCAATATATTTCTATTAAATAAGAACTTTCATCAAGCAAATCTTTTATTGTAAATTGACATTTATATTAACATTGATCTAATAGGTGATGATGAAAGCAAAATACATTAGTTGAAGAATCACTCAGAAATGATAATTGTCTTCAAAAAGTAATTGATTATTATTACTTGTGTTAACACCTTATTATGTAGTTTGATCAAATTCGAAATATTAATAGTGATTATTTCTAAAAATTCGAACTTGATCAGTTTCGTAATATTCTTGATTTAATTATTTATCTGTGTAAAAGTTTCTAGAACATTGAAATTTCATGGAAGATTTTGGAATATGTTACCACAGTCTAAAGTTTGTTGCGAATGCCATTAAAAGTCTTTTCCGTTACTATGGAAAAGTAATCAAGTCATTCTTCCCCATCTTGTTATGACAGGATTGGAAAACCGTAAAGACTATATTTTTCTTCGAAATACACAATATGAGCCTTACAAAAGTATACAGTCATCTATTGTAAGATATCAAATTCTTTTTATAAACAATGAAAAAAATCTAATTAAATTTTTACACAAATCATTCCATGAGAAGAATTAAAAACGATCAATCGATTAAATTAATAGTTTTAACTTATAATCGAATTTTATATATTCGGATCATTTTTGCTAAAGTGAATAATTGTATAGATTTCATATCTAATAGTTTTTATATTTATCATTTATTCATTATCAACATGTGTCATAATAATGAGAAGGAATAGATTATTGAGAAAAAAAAACGTTTTTTTTTTCTCATAGATATTGAGTCGAGTCTTCAAGTCAACGTTGTTGTTAATTAGTAGATAATGATGAATTAAGACTTATTAGTTTGTATGAAGGATGACATATTAATGAAATTAGAACTGTATTTTGCAAAAACGATCATTCTTCTATTGGAAGAAATACTTTTGGATTTTGTATATTTGCATGGGTGAAATCAATTTTAATTAAATATCCTGATGAGTAGAAGATAATGTTGATATTGATGATGACGCTACATGAGATTCTTGAAAATGAAGATCATATAGTTTTTGTATTGGTGTTAGATAAAGAGAGATCAAACATTTTGCAAACAGTAACATTATATGTTGAAAAATTGTTTTAGTCGTCTCTGATGTACATATCTCGTATAATAGATAGACATTCTTATCCTATCTTATCTACAGACTACAGAGAGGTAAAACTTGTTTTAATTGTGTGAACTTGTAGAGTATCTTTTTCCGTAGGAAACTCTTAAATATGAAATCAAAACAAATTACATACCTTGTTTATCCTAAGAATATCAGAAGTAAAACAGTTACTATAATCCTATGTCGAGGTTGCAGTAAGTTTTTTTTACTCTTGCTATTGATAACGTAACAAATGTCGAGAACTAAAGATATAACATATACTTGATTTTTATTTCAAATAGTAGCGACACTAAGTGCAGGCTTTGTTATAGAAAAAAATCGAATGCATACGCACAGGACTACATAAATGTTTTGCTTTACACTCTGTACTTTTGACTACATCGATATTAATTCGAAGAATCTGAAAAACAGCTGATCATACGTCACTAAGGCAGACATGTCCAAAGTGTTTTTTTTTTCATATTCCTCTTCACCGTTAACCTATGAATATTACGTACGATATCTATTGGTGAACACCTTACCCAATAATCACTATTTTCCTTTGACTGAATGATTCAGCGTTTCTAAGGACAGGAATGCACTAAACGCCAGAAGATTATAATTGTTATATAAACCAGTCAAATGATGAACACAATTGTTGTACACTTTGATACATTTGTTTGATGACAAGATAATGTAAAAAAAAAGAAAATATACTGTTTTAGATATTCATTCGAGTCTCATTATTCTAATGTCGAAACAGATGAAACCAATCGATTTACGTAAATTAGCAACGAATTTTGCTAATGAAAAATCAAAAGAAGATCTTTATTGGCAACGAAATGATGCAAAATTTCGTGCTGTACATCAACGTTGTTCAACATATGATGAATTTCGACAAATTGTTGAAGCAGCACATTTACGTCCACTTGATCGAAATGAAATATTAACATTAGAACGAAAATCTATATCATGGAATCAATCAGCTACAAAGGATTGTTTTTCATCGCCAGAAACAATTATTTCATCTGAATCAATAACAAATCATCAAACAACATTTTTCGTACCAAAAAATACAACAGAATTTATTCAACAATGGCGACGAATTTCTTCTAATATGAAACTTAATTATTTACGTCGATTAAATAATTTAGAAAATATTTTTCAAACTGATATTCCAACAGATTTATTACATGAATTACCATTATTATATCAATTAAATTCATCATATAATGATGCTGAAGTAATTATTGATATACTTTTAAATTTAACAAAATCAAAACGTTTTGAATTAATTAAAAGTTTTTTAACTGATAAAGATAAATTTGAACTTGATCTTTTATTTTCACGTCTTTGTTCATTTGTTAATTTACGTTTTTCAATTTTTTTATTAAGAAATGTATATTTTTCATGAATACATAAATAATGTCGATGAAGTTTCTATTCAATGATGTACTCTTACATACTTAATGGTATTGATTAAAATCATATTTTTAAATTATTGGAAGTATTCAGCAAAAAAGGGTATGAATTTCCGCTTATAAAAGAAATAGAGACAAAAGCATAATTCAATAGTTGATAAGATAGAGACAAAAAAATATGAAAATTATTTTTTACCAAGTGTTCTACTAATCTTATTAAAATATTTGTCTAATGATAAACAACAGGCAATTGATGGTGACACTGCCTCAACGTAATCGTACCATATATACATACATCCACATCCTTATTCACTTGGATTATCATCTATCAAACAGGTTGTACTGATTCAACTCGTACTTAACTATTAGATTATGATCTTTCGAAGAAATAGACAAGAGAGTATTTGCAACAGAGATGGACAAAGTCGCACCGCGCCTTCGCTACACTAGTCTGAGCTTCGATGAGCGCATGCTTAGAGCATCCCGGTATTCGGTGGAGTTTGAGAAATTGATTGGTAGAGCAAAGAGAAAGAGAGATGTGCGTAGCGCCTAGGCGCGGTGCGATTTTGTCCATCTCTGATTTGCAAGATTGTCAAAGTAATTAATTCGACTAAATACTTACACTGTAAAGGATAAACAAAATTTGGCAAACTAAAAGTCAATGTTTGTGATATTGCTTACAGAATTATAGAAAATTAAGTTTTTTTCGAATATTCTTCTTTTTTATATGATGAAATATATTTTTCAAAAAAAATTTTAAATGAAAAATTACTAAAGATTTTAACCTTCGAATAATTAAATGTGAATTGTTGAGAATAGATATCTATTCTTCTACTTTTATAGTATGGCGATTTTCTTACGTCTTTTATATCAATTTTTTATTATCTGAATTGTTGACAATCATTACATATTTATATCATGAATATTAAAATTATAATTATGATTTTTGTCTAGTAGAAATTTAGTACCAAACTATAAATCACTGCAAAAAAAATGCATGCTGAATTTATTTATAAAAAAAACACTATTTAGATATACAGTTACTTGCAAAACTATTCGACCAGATTTATTTTCAATTTTTTCCATTTTCGTCAACCCTTGATGGCAGT